GTTTTGGGTTTGAACTAACAACCTTGTGGTTATAAGTCCAGTGCTTATCCTACAGCACCACACCAGGACTCTTTATATAGATGTATGTATCTGGTAGCATAGTGGTTACGAATTGGGCTATGAACTGCAAGGTCAGCAGTTCGAAACTACCAGCTGCTCCACCGGAGAAAGATGCGGCTTTCTGCTCCTGTAAAGATTTACAGCCTCGGAAACCCTGCACAGGGTCGTTATGAGTCTGAACCGACTCCACGGCACATAACAACATGTCTATATATATATGTTGTTGTGAAGTGCTGTTGAGTCTGTTCCAACCCATAGCGACCCTGTATAGGGTTTCCGAGGAGCAGCTGGTGAGCTTGAACCTCTCACCTTTCACCATTCGGCTTTGCAGTCTGGAGATTAACCCACAGTGCCACACCAGGACTCTATTCTGCACTAGTCTATGGTTCTTATTTGTGATTCTGTTTTTGCCTTTCTTGGCTTATTTTTCACCATTGCTGCCTTTTAAAGTAGTTGAAAAAAGGGATGATGGTGGAGGTGAAGCTGGTTCCTGTTGATAACAACTGGATTAATTCAGACTTGGATAACATTTATCTTTAGAAAGCTTCACCTGCTTTTTCCAGTGTTCACTTATTGGACATTTTATAGCTCAAATGTGAACAAGAGGAAGTAAGAAAAACTTAGCAGGTTTTTTATTTATTACAAGCCCTGAAGAATTGAGAAGCAAAATATCTGATTTTTGCTTCCTTTAGCCTCATCCTTATTAACATAACTGAGTTTAAAAAATTAATATCTGATGAATAAATTATCTGAGGGTTTGTTTACTGGATTTGAAGAATTGTGTCTTGATTTATTCTGTTATGACTATGAAAGTAGTTTGAACACTTTCACAGGTTGTAATTTCTGTGGTATGATGCTTTTTATTGTATTATATATAAAGTATATATGTAATGATGTTTGTAAGACACTCAGTCATTTTTATGGAATAATTAAGGTCAGAATGGCCCTCCCCAGATGTTATGATGTAAAGCAAGCAAGGAACATACTCTCAGGTAAGAAACAGCAGCTTCTATTTCTAGTGCCCTGAAATTCTACCCACGATATTTTTTTAATCCATGGCTTTGTCTATTAATGCTGTATCTAAATACAGAATGGATATTTAAGCATACACTTACATGTGTAGTGTTTTTCTTCTTCTTTAAGGCTATAAAGGTAAATTTATAGTTTAATAAATAATTACAGCTTAGTGTAAAAAAAAGTTCAAATTGTTGTATGTAAAAAGTACTATGGTGGTGGTGGTGGTGGTCGTGGTGTGCTGTGGAAACAGTTCCGACTCATAGTGACCCTGTATAGGGTTTCGAGGCTGTAAATCTTTATGGGAGCAGAAAGCCTCATCTTTCTCCCGTGAAGCAGCTGATAGTTTTGAACTTCTGACCTCGAGTTTAGCAGCCCGACTCATAACTACTACTAGAGCTCCTTAAAAAGTATTATGGGAACTGAAAAATGTAATCTTATATTTGTTCTTAGATAAGGGGGTGATGAGTGGACTTGCCTGCCTCTATGCAGTTATATTCATTTGTTTAATAACAAATTGGGCCTTTGTCATACATCTTTATTAATTTCTAAACTTACAAGTTTTATTAGCAAACAGCTGTATGAGGTGAAAAAGTATTGGAAAATATCCACTTTGCCTGTGTGAATTTGACTTCGTTGTTTAACTGTTGAATCTCAATTTTTCCATCCTAAATTTTAAATTTTGGGATAACAGGTAAGACTATTGGGAGGATTAGGTGAAGTAAGCTTAGTGAAAATATTTAAAATTTTAGAACATAGTGGTTTTTATAGTAACTTGTCAGAAATGAAGTGTCTTGCCATTTTTCTTTTTGCAGATGCTGCACTTAAGAAAGGGTGCTTGTTTTGATCCCTTACTCAGTTTCCTGGTGAAGTATCACTAATCCTTCCTGGAATTAGTGTTTGCTCTTTGTAAGAATTTGAGAAGGAAAGCTTAGTTCTGAGCCTATTTTGTAAATAATGAACAAATAAAATTTGTAATTCAAACCTTGCTTCAAATATCTTTGATAAGAATGTACTTAGTTAAAACATACAATGAATTATTCTGTGATTTATTTCCATGGTCTAGAAGTGATGTGGAAATAAGTCACAAAATAATTTACTGCTTTTGTTAAAATGCAGTAACTGTAAAATAAAAAAATAGGTATTATGATCATGCAGTGGAAATATGAATTAAACTAAGTGCAACCTTTATATCACAAAGAATTTGAAGTAATAAAACTTTGTGTTTTGTTTTTCATGATTTAATCCAGAATTTGGAAGTAAAGTAAGGAGCCCTGTGGCACAGTGGTTACGTGCTCAGCTGTAACTGAAAGGTCAGCTGTTTGAACCTGTCAGCCACTCTAGGAGAACTAGATGGCATTCTGTTTTTGTAAAGATTACCAAACCAAACCTATGTAGGGTTTCTGAGCCTGTAAATCCTATGGGAACAGGCAGCCTTATCTTTCTCCTGAGGAGTGGCTGGTGGGTTTGAATTGCTGAACTTGGGGTTGACAGTCCAGTACTTCTTCTACTCTGGCCTATGAGGTCACTATGAGTCAGAATTTAGAAATGAAGCAGCCTTAGTGAGGGTTGCTTTCTCTTTGCCATATTTTCCCCTCTATAGTAATTAAGGTATGCTAAGACTTGCAACAGACTGTAGTTTATTTGTTCAAAGTTAATAACTTGGTATTAAGTGCCATCAAGTCAGTTCCGACTCATAGTAACCCTGTATAGGGTTTCTGAGGAGCAGCTGGTAGGTTTGAACTATCAACCTTACATATAACAGTCTAGTGCTTATCCTACAGTGCCACACTAG